TTAACATTGACTAGCAACACTTATGTGCCATATTTGTCTGCTTTTTGGCCTACTTGTATCTTAGATTTTGAAGAAATGAAATTTTGAAATCTGGCTTTCTTCTGCCATCTGAAAAGGGAAGATTGTATATTGGTTTTAGAATATGGTTAGTAAAGAACATACAACATTTATGAACGTTCTGTATTTACTTTCCACTTATAAGGTAAAGAGTTTGCAATTAGAATAGCCACACTAGATACTATTTAATAGCTAAAATGATGGTAGGAATAATTTGGACAGAAATGTCAAAAAGATATAGTTTAAACTTAAGTTTTGTAAGATGTAAAATATTCAGATTTTAAAATCTTGTAAATAGTTGGACAGTTTGGACTTTAGCAATGATAGTATAAAGGAAATTTCTTATTTTTGGTCTAATTTGATTAGGGGTTGAATTATAATATGAAAAGACATTAGAATTGGGCCTCCTGGCGGCGCAGTACTGTGAAGCTGCCCGCAGCCTCTGCAGCACTGGTTCAATCCTGGCCAGCCGGCGAGAATCCCACATGACACGGCAGACTCCTCCCGTCTTGCCCACTGCTCCCTTCAGCAGTGTATTTCAGTCAGTCTGCCTGTTTTGTTCCACGCTCTGTCTCTGGTGGATCCCGCACATCTGGCCTGTACCCCAGTTCTTGTATAAATACATAAATCTTAAAAAAAAAAAAGACATTAGAATTAAAGGTTCCAAGATCTACTTGGACCATTTACTTATGTAGAGACAAAAGGAAAGAAAACAGAAATCTTGTAAAAAAAAAAAATCTAAATGTGAGCCCTGATTTTGTGAGGAATTTGTGGGAAAAAAATTCAGAAAAGGGAATATTTTTGATAATAATATTTGCTATAAGCAAAGTTATCTGTAACTTTTATTATTATTTTATTATTGTAATATTTGCTATAAGCAAAGTTATCTGTTATATGATCTTTTAATGGAGACTTTTGTCAAATCTAAGATGTTCAAATGCTTCTGTCTCAAAGTCTCATATTTTTTTTTTTTTTAAGATTTATGTATGTATAGAAGAGCTGGGGTACAGGCCAGAGGTGTCGGGTGTGAGAGGATTCACCAGAGACAGAGTGGGGAACAGAACAGGCAGATCTACTGAACTACACTGCTGAGGGGAGCGAGACAGGAGAGGTCTGCTGCACCATGTGGATAGCGCCCTGGCCGGGGATCAAACTCATGCTGCAGTGGCTGAAGAAAGCTTCATAGCATCTTAACCCCTTAGGCCACCAGGGAGGCCCTAGTCGTATCTTTTTTTCAACATGATAACTGAGTAAAGGTTGAGTCCAACTATACCTTATATCATACATTGTAGCCAAATTGAAACGCAAGTATTATTTCTAAAGATATTTTGTTCTTAAAATAATTTTACCATATTCTATTCTGATTATTAATGATCAGATCGTCATTATCAGATTATGACTGATTTAAATAATGACTTTATAATTAAATAAAGTAAAGGTCTTTGGTATAAGCTGGGAATTTTCTGGTATCAGTGTTTCTTGAATACCCACATATTACAATAGGACTATATATTTTAAGAGAAAACTGTTGCATATCTGTTGTATGATCGATTAGTAAACAATGTGAACAGAAATTTCACAGTGGGTGCAACTATAACTTCTGGGGCCATGCTTTTGTTCTCAGCCTTTTTTTTTAAGATAATACACACCACCATCCTCTGCACTGGGTGTAAGAGACAAGTCAAAGACCATTGTTATTCCCATTTTTCTGCATGGGTGTGAATATAAATCTTTATCCTTGATATATAGCAACTTTTAACAGAATATGTTGGTGTTGGTCCTTGTCATTTTTTCCTGCCAAGGGCTATTACCTGGTATTTCCCCCTACTTTCAGGATGGTGGCACACCTAGCTCTTCTACCTCATTATGCTTCTTTCCATTCCTCTGGCTTGGCTAGTGAAATCCCTATCCTCACTCTGTTTTGCTATTGCTTTCTAGCAGATTTAGCCCAATAATCCGTAGACTTCCAGAGCATACGCCTCAGTTGACCAGTTATGTTCCCTTCCCCACCCTCATGAAATATAACATGTATCCCTAATATTATATTTGGGTTACCCATTGTTTGAGTTACCCATTGTTTGATTCACACATCCAGTGAGATGGGTGTTGATGGATACAAACAGGACGTCTAAATCTAAAGCTCTGATAACTTAAATGTTCTAAGTCTTTAGCAAAATATAATCCTATACCCAATGGAGGAGTAGACAATGTGGTAAAAGAGAAAAAACCCACAGATGAGCAAAAAGAAAATGAAACTTTCCTAAGGCAGGTGCAAAGGGAATAGGAGAGTTCCATGTCTTTTGGTGCCTCAGCCTCTCACTTGAGGAGCTGGGCATACACGGCCAGCTCCTTTCCCATTTAGTGACCCCTTCAGCTCTGGATCGCCAGTGAGACCCACCGTCCAGCAAAACCTAAGTTTCAAGCTGAGCGCTGTGAAACGAGAAACGCGCGGGGAAAATGGCGGGGCGGAGCTAGTTCTGCGCATGCCCTCTGCGGGCGGAAGCGCCCACCACGTTGCGCCTGCGCAGTCGGTGCCCCCGCGGTCGGGCTTCTCCGCAGGGGATCCCGGGCGGGATGGTGCCGCTGTGCCAGGTAAGGGTGGGAGACGCCCCTGCGGGCCCACCTCCGCCTCTTCCCCTCCACAGCCGCGGGCTAGCTCGACCGGACCCCCCACATCCGTCCTGCCCCGCGGCCGCGCGGCCACCCCCGGAGTGACCCTTCCGGGTTGTGCGGGCTTCGCCGGCTCTGGGCGTCGGGGGTCGGTGTCTCGGACCGGCTGGTTCCCGGTACCCTTGACCTTTGCCCCTGCTTCCAAGGTTATTTGTTTGGACGAAGACAGGTTTTCAATTGAGAAAGAAATGCATTTATGAATTCTTGCGAATATGCGTGCTTCATCCGTGTATTTGCAAACCATTGATTATTTGCAAACCTCTAATTGCTTCGTGGAGGAGTTGTGCCGAGTGACAGGTGGGTTATCTTGCTAGATCGGGATCCTTTAGAGTGACTGCACCTGGCTTGTCCTAGGCTATACCAGTTGAGCCAGTATTTCAGACACACCTGCAGTTCTCCATGTCAGCATTTGTACTTTGTGTAACCCAATACCCCGGCGCCTGGGTTCACTCCTAGGAACACTGAAATCGAAGGTCACCTGGCAACCATGGAGAGTGTGCCTTTCACTGATTTATTTGGTCATTAATTTTATTGGCGTGTTTCATCTCTTTTTTTTTTTCTTTGTAGAAAAAAAAATTTTAGGTTATTTTATTTTTTAAACAATATTTGCTTCCCTCCACCCACTCAGGTGTAGTCCCCATAGAATTTCCTTCCCCAGTGCACCTGTGCACCATCACCTCAGTCCCCTGTGCTCCTCCCTCCCTCCCTCTGATCCTTCTCCCTCCTCCTCCCCTGCAGTATGTCTCTGATTTATAATGTCTGATTTTGCTTTGTTGTGTTTTGTAGTGTTATTATTATTATTATTTTTACTCTGATGTCTTATTTGGTTCCCCTATATTGCTGTTATAAGTGAAACCATCTGATATTTTTCTTTTTCCTTCTGGCTTATTTCACTGAGCATAATTCCTTCTAGCTCCATCCATGTTGCTGCGAATGGCATGAGTTTATCTTTTTTGATTGCTGAATAATATTCCATGTTTCATCTCTTAACTGATATTTGTTCATTGCTTCTGTGTTTATAAAAGCTGCTGTAGTTTTATGCCAATAAAACCGACTTAATGCCGTGGTTTCTAAAATGTATTAGGATTTTAGGGTGTAGCACATTTACATCTGTGAAACTAAAAAGCATGCAGAAAGTAGTTTGAATTATGCTTAAGACATAAAAATTTTTCAAAACTTAAAAGATTTGCAAAATTTGAACTTGTAACTATGTGAATCCAGAAATTTGTATGGATGGTATTTTCCCTAACTTTTAAAATTTATCTTTGATCAAGTAATACATTTGGAAAATGAAACTCAGTGTGGGTAGCCGGAAAGGATTATGAGTTGTTATTGTTAAAAGCTATTTTTTCTCTACTTTCAGGTTGAAGTGTTGTATTTTGCAAAGAGTGCTGAAATAGCTGGAATTCGTTCAGAGACCATATCTGTACCACAAGAAATAAAAGCATTGCAGCTGTGGAATGAGATAGAATCAAGACATCCTGGGTAGTTAAAATGCTTATGATTAATACTTTAATATTTTTAAAATGTGTGAATGAAGAAATGCTAAAAGTAAAAAAAACTTGTTTGATTTCTGTGCTTAGTGTCAAAAAAGGGTCATTAATTGTATGTTTTAAAAATAATCCCTGAAAACTTTTAGTATTTAAAAATATGCACTTCCTTAAGGACAGTAAAATTTTTACTGAAGAAACACGGTGAACTACAATACCCCCAAAGAGATATGTTTCTTTTTATAATTTACAAAATACTGAAAATGTAGATTCTCATTTTTTACTTAAATGAAACAGTTACAAATTCTGTTAAAAGTATGTGCTTTATACCTTTATGTCCACTCCCTTCTCTGGAGAACTCAAACTCCACCCCCTCCCCCATTTGTTTAATTCTTCAAGGCTTACAGTATAAGCCAATGAAGAGTTGTTAGTAGTTTACTAACTGCTGACTCTTTTTTCTCTATGGTATATAAATTACTTTGATTAGCAACTTTGTAAGTGATGCTTCTAAAGTAATCTGGGTTTTTCTTTTCACTTTTTTTTTTAAAGATTTATTTATTTATACAAGAACTGGGGTACAGGTCAGAAGCGTGGGAGGGTGAGAGGTTTCACCAGAGACAGAGCAGGGAACAGAACAGGCAGACTGACAAAATACACTGCTGAGGGGAGCAGCGGGCAAGACTAAAGTAATCTAGGTTTTTAATTTCAGCTGAATAGATTTGAGGTCTAATCTAACACTGATTCTTCTAATTATATTCTTCCCCCACTTCAGATTGGCTGATGTAAAAAATCAGGTGATATTTGCTGTTCGTCAAGAATATGTCGAGCTTGGAGATCAACTCCTCTGGCTTCGATCAGGAGATGAAATTGCCATTATCCCCCCAATTAGTGGAGGGTAGTAGTGCTTTTGAGCCACTTGGGTATGTGAGATGTGTTTTTCCTAACCAATCTTGTGGGAAAGGATCATACAGTTGATAACTTGTTACATGATATGCTGCTGCTATATGCTTTTCATTAAGTCTATACCTGCTCTTTATTAAAATGGTAACTTTATTAATGCAAAAACCTACCTGTCATCTTTACATCAATTCTGTTGCAGACAGTTTAATGTTAGTTTAATCTGTTCTGTCAACATATTTATTCACTTAACATGGTTGATTGAGATCTTACTATGCATTTTTTCTTTTTTTTAAAACAATGTCCAGACACAATGCTGGACCTTGGAGAATTAATATCCTTATTTAGAATGAGCCAAAAAACTCATTTGTGTTCATATAGCTAATAATGGCAGACCTAACATTTAAATTCATATTACTGAACTCTCCAAGTTTTCACAATTATGCTTAGTAATGCTGGATGGTAGCTCTCCTGGGTACAGGGGAATGTAGAAAAATTTCCTAGCCAGCAAGTAAAAGGAACACTGTGCCTAAAAAGAAAACTACTGTTTTCCAGGTATGAAGAAACTGCTTTACTAGTATAGTTGTGTGCAAGTGACTCTGACCCATGTCATCTTTCCAAACAGCATAGTCCATAGTTGAATGAGAGTATTTAAGTAGAATATACTTGAGTGCATTTTTCAAGCTAATCTGGAGAGCTTGCCAGAATGAGGTTTAGTTTATTATCAACTGAAAAATAAATAATGAAGAAATTAATAGTCCTCCCTAATTAAAAGCTCTTGTTAAGAATGAAAGCAAGCTTTCTTAATTTGATAGAATCTTTTCTTCAAAATCAAGGGTAAATATCATATTCAGTGATGAGCTTGGTTTCCTCTAAGAAAGGAATAAGCTAAGGATGCGCATTTATTTTTTTCCAATTTTCCCCCCTTACTCACCTACAGGGCATTGCCACAAAGGTGAATAATAAAAATTTTAAAGTATGTTGCCCAGCATGCCAGCACTTAGAGATTGAATGTTTTTTAGACTGTTTGGAAATTATATAAAAAATTCATTGTTAGATATGTATCTTAATTTTATTTGGAAACTGGTCATCATATCACCATCATGATTTTGGAAAAATGTTATTTTTTGGAGTATGGTATTTATTCAGAAAAGAGTGGGCTGCCATTAAAGGAGTGTGTGTATATGATGGTGAGAGATGGTTGTGAATTAGGAAGATGACTCAAAACCATTGTGTATTACTTGTGTGCATTTGCCAGAATTTGTAGCATGTCATTTAAAAATCTGTCTGTCCTTATGGAACCAAGTTGTAGGAATTAAGTATGAAGTTGATAGACTGTATTTGGGTTACCTATATTTTATTGCAAAAAAAAATTAAAGAGGTGGAAGAAGCTCAAATAGCATGTAAAGGAGATGAAACATCCGGGACTCCAGTGACATAGGGATAATTGTATTTTTCTTTTTAGTAGCTGGAAGGAGATAGGGAAAAGAATGTGAGTTTTAGTAACAGTCACTTCGAGTGAGTTTAGTAACAGTCACTTCGAGTGAGTGCTTGAGTCCTCTTTCCAACATCTTTCAGTTTGGATGAATCCCCACAGGATCTGTGATTATATTCAGACACTTCATGGCCTCTATGGTCCAACCTTCCTACTCAATCTCAGTGTGTTCCTTCTCTGCCTTATTCTCTGCTCCTCTTAGTAGTTTCTGGAGCACATTGTCCTCTTTCTTGCCATTTCCTTTGTCTCTTCCTGGGGCCCTGTACCCCTTTTTTCTTTATAGGGCTCAACTTTAAATATTTCTTGAGAGAGGCGTTCATGCTATGTCTCAGAATCCTGTTTATATCCATGAGTTATCCCTGTTTTTAGTTGGTATTTATTGTTCTGTTTCTCCCATCCAGTATGAATGCCCCAAGGACAGGAGCCAATATCTTTTGTTCCCTGGTCTATATCTAGTGCATGGTGTAGTCTCTGGTCCTTATTATGTAAAAAAAAAATTGATGAATGAAATGACAAATGTGTGGCCAAAGGACTTTGCACAGCACCTAATGAATAGATGTGCACTTCATTCCCTGATTTCCTCAACTGCTTAGCTGGGCTTTGCCCTGTTGTAAAGGGAACCCTATGGAGTTCCTATGGAGCTTCTGCTTTTGCATAAAGGAAAAGACAGTCTGGCTGTGGCACTTGATAATCTAGTAGTTAGAAGTGTCTGTGGGTGAAGGTGTTGACTGGTGAACTGTACTAATGCAAGATGAATAGTAGTTCCAGAATTCAGAATTAACTGGCATATGAGACATATTACATTTTAAATGATCATGTTAAAAGTAAAGTCCTTTTTATGTCATGCTTGATTCATTTGGGATATTTATATTGTTTTGCTAACATTTTACACTTGCTTATTTTTATCATGCAAATTGTGCCTAACACATCTAATATAGAAAAATATAAATTGAAACAGCCCTTAAGTTGGATGTATTGCTTCGAATACCAATGTTAAGTCTTGTGAATATCTTATTTCTAGGAAAGTTATGAATGAAGTTGAAGAGAAATCTAAAGATATAATAAAATTCACTGCTGAGAAACTTTCAGTAGATGAGGTCTCACAGCTGGTGATTTCTCCACTCTGTGGTGCCGTATCCCTATTTGTAGGTGAGTTGTAATTTTCACAGCTTCTACTGACTACACTAGACAATAGAAGTTAGCAAGTGTTTTCCATGGTTAGTGTTAATAGAAGATTTTTTAATACAGACGAGAAACCTCAAGATTACTCATGGTGAGAGGTAGAGATTTTTTCAGTTCTTGTTTTGTCTTAATAACCTACAAATTAGCCTTTGTTAAGGCAAAAAAATAAAAAGTTGGATAAAAGTCATTATCATCAGAGGAAATTCTGTGTTTCTCTTATGGGGGTGCGGGGTGGGGGAGTGGTGATGGTAATAATTCAGTGCTAATCCTAAGAACATAATGTTTTCCTTTCAATTTTCAAGTGTTAACTGTGTGGAAAAGGAACATATCCTGGTTTGTCATGTGTTTTCAGTAAACTTGCCTAATAGGTATCATCTTATTTCCTTATCTTTGTAATAATGCTTTTGTTTTTCTCATTAAGATTGGGTAATGTGGAGCTAAGTAAGTCCAAAGGAGAAAGACAAATACCAAATGGTTTCACTTACATGTGGACTATAGAGAAACAGAGTCAGACAAAATCAAACCAGTAATAAACACTAGAAATCTGATTGTAGTATTGAGGCTACCAGAGGGGAAAAGAGAGGTTGGAGAGCAGGGTGTGGAGGGGGCCCACTGGGCTGGTAGAGGACCTTGGGTGTCTTGATGGTGGGTGTGGCATGGTTACGTACATCTGACTAGGTGGATCTGTTACCCCTGAATCATACAGAGTATTATAAACCAATGTTACCTTAATAAAAATTTTTTTGAAGTAATTTTTAGATAATTTGGCATGCTACTTGTCGGTACAAAAATCATCTTTTTATTCTAGTAATATGATGTTTCTATTATAAGGAGTAACCTATTTTAATTGCATTTTACCCCCCTCAGGGACGACAAGAAATAACTTTGAAGGGAAAAAAGTCATTAGCCTCGAATATGAAGCATACCTACCAATGGCAGAAAATGAAGTCAGAAAAATTTGTAGTGACATGAGGCAGAAATGGCCGGTCAAACACATAGCAGTGTTCCACAGACTGGGGTATGATGTCTATTGTCAATTTGAAAGTTAAATTCAGTTGTTATTGCCTTTGTACAAATTCTGATTCTGGAATTTCTCATAGAGATCTTGTATTCCAATGAGAGGGAGGTTTGTGTATCATTCAGAGGGAGCGTGACACTGCCTGAGTATTTGTCCTCTGATAACACAAGGAGAGTGCCTGAACTAGGCACTCTCTCAGACCCTGCACCAGCAGTCCCTACCTGTGCTAAAGTTCTCCAGGCCTTTTTCAAATTGTTTTGTAGTCTGGACTCTGATAATCTCATAAGAGATTTCTTTTCTATGAAAATGCCTTTAAAGGTCATTCAATGACAACCTTTTTGTACCACTAAGAAAAGCAGAGTTCTAAGCTTTAAAAATAACCCAGGAATTGAGACTACATCATCTATCATATTCTATTATTATTTTGTTTTCACTAAGTAATTTTATTAAAAATTAGTGATTGTTTTAATATTTACTGTTAGCAGTTTTGTTAACATTTATTGCTATTTAGTATTTTAAATGCTGGGTGATATCCAGCATGTTAGCTTTGGCTCCCTGGGCGTGACCTGGCACTGCACCCTGTTTGAGTCATAGGTTTGTTATGTCGTGGAAGTTGGCCATTCTTCTTGGTGCCCATCAAACAGGTTCAATAGATGGGCACTTGTAAATTAGCTGCAACTTCAGAAGCCCTCTGAAGATTGCAGCTGGAATGAATTAAGATTTCCTAACTAAACTGGGTATATAGTTCTAAGAATGCATCACTGGAATTTTTTTTTTTAAAGATTTATATTTTATTTATGCATACAAAATAAAATATGGGGTACAGGCCAGAGTCATGGGGGGTGAGAGGATTCACCAGAGACAACAGGCAAACTAACTGAAATACACTGCCTAGGGGAGCAGTGAGCAAGACAGGAAAGGTCTGCTGTGCCATGTGGGTTGCTCCCTGGCAGACTGGGGTTGAACTAGTGCTTCAGAGGCTGCAGATTGCTTCATAGTGCTGTGCTTATTAACCCCTTGCGTCACCAGGGAGGCCCTTCACTGATTTTTTTTTCATGTGTCTGTTAGATTATTTAAATTCAAGGAGATGGTAACTCTTTTCTTCATTTTCTTAAAGCTTAGTTCCAGTGTCAGAAGCGAGTATAATCATTGCTGTGTCCTCGGCCCATAGGGCTGCATCACTCGAAGCTGTGAGCTACGCCATAGATACTTTGAAGGCCAAGGTGCCCATATGGAAAAAGGTGAGTTAAGAAAGATCTCATTTTGCTATTTGGATATGATTTTTCTCAGGAATTTTTACAAGATAGGTACTAAGGGTTCCTACAGAGTTTGTGTTCATGGGCCTTCTCTGACTTAGAGGATCTTTATAGAATCCATGAAATAGAATATTTACATAATAGCTCCTTTCCAAGATTTGTCAAACATGAGAAATGCATGCCACAAAAAATGCAGGGCCTGGGGTACGTTTGATTAAGTGCCAACTATTAGAATTCCTAGTATGGACCAGTCCAGTGGTTCATATACAAAGTTACTTCCCTTGGGGTAGAATTCTCTTCAGAATAAAGTGTCTTTCCTTTGGTAAGTCAGAATAGTACATGGGTACTGAGGCAGTGGGTGATACAGAGATTCCTCAAGGCAGAAGAATGTTCTCCTGGGACTCCCTTTTAGGACAATAATAGGGTGCCATATTGCCTCGTTAGAAAAAAAAATGTATATTTAGAATTTCAGTAGGAAATTCTAGCTTGTTTTCTGTCAGTGCATCAAACCAATCAAAAAGAGCAAGTTAGTCTCTGGTTAAAGAGAGCATTTTGAAGGGGTGGAATTTCCCAACACACTCCTTCCTCCCCCAGTGCGGTTGCCTCAGCCGTGGGATTGTTGTATACTGTCAGTCTCAAACACATGGAAGGCCTTTGGAGAAGCATATTTTAGATATTTTGAAGTAGTTGGTGTGTTTGGAACAAAAGTTGAAAACTAAAGTCCTTCCATTTTCCCCATATGACAGGAGCCTAGTCCCCGGTCATGGTCCCAAATGGAATGAATTTTAGTTATTTCTTGGTATTTGAGACATCATGATCTCCATAGATACCACTGGCTGGGGATGCTCAAATCATGCACATTAATTTGCCTGGTATTTGCCTGTAGCCTGTGCACATCTGTCTGTATACTTTAAATCATCGCTAGATTACTTATATACCTAATACAATGTAAGTGCTATCCAGTCTTGCTTAGGGAACAGTCACAAGAGAATTCTTTGCGTGTTCGGTACGCATGTGGCCATGTGGGCGCCGCTACATAGGACATGTTTTCTCTCAGTGCGTGCAGAACCCCGAGGGCTGGCTGTAAGGTGTTCTGTGGCTGCACCTTGTTAAGATTTCTTGTTTATCTTCTTTCCTTTTGTATTGGGAACCCTTAAATATAGGGAACATGTTTATTTGCTTTTCTGCTCTCAGTGCTTTATACACATGTTTATTGTGTTGTTACAAGTGGAGCAGATTTAAATAGTTAAATAGTTCATTTGCCTGATTTATTCATTTATACTTGGTTTTATTAAAATGCTCTGTTTTGAATAGCTATGGTTCTATTTATTTTTTTAGGAAATGTATGAAGAATCATCATCATCTTGGAAAAGAAACAAAGAATGCTTTTGGGCAAACAATGATTGAATCATTTATGTTTTATAATACTGATATTTTAATCTGGTAAACTTCTATTTTTGATCACATTTTATTTTTTTCTCCCTATTTAAGGTTTATTGAAGCACAATCTCTTATGTTGCACTAATAGTATAAATAGAAAAGAAAGCAAAATAAGTGGTATGTAGCATGAAGGCTTACGCAGGAGCCAGAGATGTAGGAAAGGCTTGAGGGAAGGAAATGAAGAGTAATTAAATGTAAGGAAGGATGCCTGTGGTAGACCTACTAGTCCATGACTGAGTTCTGATTGAAACTTGACTCACACTGAAGTGAAGCCCTTTCCTCACTGACTTTGTCTCCAAGAGAGCCTCCCACCCCCGCCCTGTCCCCGTAATCCAGTGATGTGATTCTATCAGGGATGCATTATGGGTATGTTGGCAAAACTGGAAGGTATAAAAATTCACTATCAGATAATCTTGATATATTTTTAGAATTTATATATTTAAAAAATTAAATAAATACACAATTAAATTTAAAAGCAGTGTTTTCCTATTTTAAAAAATTGAGTGTAATACCTAAAATATTTCATGACATTTATTGTATTTTAGAATCTATTACCATAATATTTATGATATTTTATTAGTTTATTAGTATTGTATAAATATACAGATTAGCATCAATTTATATAAAATCTGACAAACTAGTAATAAGGCTGTGTTATCATGTTGATGTTTAATATTTGATCTTTAGCCAATTAAAAAGGAGAATTATGATTATTAGAGCATTTTCAGGTAGTTTCCTTTTTCATAGTTTATGCCACATCATTACTGAAATCATTAATAATTAAATTTTCTGTAAGCTCTTTATATGAAACAGGGTACAATTTTTGTTTGGTCACCTATACACTGTCTTCATAGAGCTGAAATATAAGTTCCAAATATAATTCTTTTTAATTTTTATTTTAATTTTAGGGTTACATTTTTGCTCTTATGTGCACATATTCCAGTCTCCCTCCACCAAACTGCTGGTGTATAATTCTTAGAGTAATAAAATTTGAGGTAGTTTTAGGCAACGGACACTATAAAATTTAAATTATGTATATTAGGAACCAAGACCATACTTTTAGACACCTTATTTGTTAGTAATAACATTACATCTAGTGAAATATTTTTTTATCTAAAGAATTCATATTTTCAAAAAATAAACACCTGTTGTGTGCTGGGCACCCACCTTATCCACCAACCCTAAGTCCATAGGGGAGATTCTGCATCCTGCCTTTGCCTAAAACCTGCAGGACAACCACAATGTTAGGAATCGCCTGGTTACTTGGTGCTTATTCTTTTGCTAGATCAGAGAGAGGAGGTCAGAAGGTTCCTGGGAAGGCACCTGTATCTCCATAACAACTCTTCTAACTGAAATGGGGCTGCCTGTCTGGTCTGAGCCTTATCCTCTCTAAACTCAATGCCAACTCAGCGCCACCAAACTTTTTAGCCTGCCTCTATTTGAGAACAGGGGTTGAGAATACAGGCAATTGCATTATATCCCAAAGCTCATTACTGTGGGGTTTCTGGCCCACCATAAATATCCCTAGGATTTTGTATCCACATTAATAATGTGATGTTTATTGTCATGTATGTTAATACGAGAAATAGGTGGATTTCACGATTTTTCTTCTCAAGTATTTCTCTGGAGGATCTTTATTGCTAGCAGTTACAATTTTAAGGAACCTGAGACAGTCTTTAACTGTTTTTAGAGAAGCATGCCTTCATTAAGTAGGTTTATTCTAAATCTGTGAAAGTCTATTATGCTTATAAGTCTGCAATACAGAGGTTAAGCAGTTAGTCTGGAACATTCCTGAAAGGCTTTAGTGCATTGTATTGGACTTAAACAGGGCCCTCATTGATCCTTACTTTCTTTGGAATGGCAAAGTTAGCTGGTGGTTTGTGAAATTAAGGAGCTAGCTTCACTCTGCTATGCCTTTCTACCTATAACTTGGAAACTCAAATAATCACAAAAGCAAACTAAAACCAATTCCATTTTAAAGCAAACTGCCTGCAAAGTTTCAAGTCACTTTGGAACTGTGACTTTTTGTGATGGTGAGGTTAAGTTCATTCAAGAAGTAGGAAATTCAAATTACTCTGCTGCAACTATTTTTCAACAGGTAGCAAAATGAAATGAATTTTCTCTTCCTTGAATAAAACTAACAGCAGATGGTCAATGAATGAAATGTTTTGTGATTTTTGTGGATATTTTTGTCTTGTGGATATGATGTTTAGATCACAGCATATTTTCAGTACAAGAAATAGTAGTGAAGAAGCCAGGGGTCTCAGATCCCCAAATGAAGCTGTGGGAAAATCAGAAGTGGATTCCTGGATATTATCTTGACTGAAACACCTTTTCCTTTCCTGGCTGGCACACCTGTCATCCAAGCCGCCTCTGCATTATCTTGGACTGTTGCTGTGACTTGTTGACTGTCTCTTGCTGCCGCTTCATCTCCCACTTAGGTCATTTCATCATCCAACTCAGCTGATCACATCCTAGAACCTTAAAGTCCTCACCATGGCCAAACCTTCCACATGGGGCTCCTGCCTGTCCCTCTCACTCTCTTGCCCCAGGCTTGCTGCTTTGCTGTGGCCAACTTGTGGCCTGTTATTTTGCTTTAGAGCTCTTAACCCATCCCTTCTTCTAAGATGCTCTTCCTCCAGATATTCCCCTAGTCCGCATCTACACTTTACTGAGGAACTATTTACCTCTGAGAGCCTTCTGTGACTATCCTATTTAAAACTGGAATCCTATTCTCTTACCCTGCTTTCTTTCTCTTTATGGCACAACTGCTCCCTGATACGCTGCATCTACTTGTCTATCACTAGACTAAATTTCTGAGGCCAGGGGCTTTTATCTCATCACAATGTAACCAGTACATGCCTTCAAAAGTACAGTAGGTGTTAAGTATTATTTTCCAAATAAGCACACCTGGCCCATGTCGCCTAGTTGTAGTGTTTACAGGTGCAGAAAAGTATCTGTTAAATGAGTCCGTGAGTAGGCACAACTTCTCTCCATTCCTTCCCAGTTCCCATTCTGGAACATCTGGTGTGTTGGGGACCTCTCTCACCAGGGCCGTATTTGTGTGATGTAGAGAGGCAGCTCACCCAGCAGAGGGCAGTAGAGCCAATGCTCTAGTCAGAGCTGCTGGAGTTGGATTTTAGTCTGTTACTTTTTCACAACTCCGAGGTCAGTTCCGTCAGTAACCATTCCCTATACAGTACACTAGGTTGGGGGGAACCTCCGCTGACAATTACTCCTGATTTTGTATAAGATCAGGACTTGTATAAGATGATTTCCAATTTTCAATTGGTATCTTTAATCCTTTAAAGTACTAAGGATTAAGATTCAGGGGTTTTTTGAAAATGCTATTTGTAGTTTTTAAAAGGTCATAGAGTAAAAGGAATTACTTTTTTTAAAATGAGTAAATGTGAAAATTATTTTTTAACTTAGGATAAATTGGTAGCTTGAAAACGTGTCTTTAGCCGCATTCCCTCACCTACTCTGATAAAGCTGATATGGAAGGGGAGGTGTGATGACCGACTGTAGGGTAAGTGAATTGTTCAGGCTTTCACGCCGCTGGCCTCTGTGGCTGTCACTTGTGGCCTTGAATGTAGAAGGCACTTGGGAGCGTGGGCGTGGGGCATGCATGCCTGATGATAGACACCTGGTCTGTGGGGTGGGCATGGGTAAGTGGGCACACCGGAGGCTGAGGCTGTAAGGGCTGTATCACTCAGAGACAGAAACCGCTACGCAAAACGGCTGCAAGCAGAGAACGGCTAAGAAGATGAGCAACGGCTACTGCAGGACCACTCAACGATGCCAGAGAGAGCCCAGAGAGAAAGTAAAGATTCACTGGGATCTGGGGAGCTTGGTTGATTCCAGTATCCCGCACCCCCCCCCCCCCCCCCACCTCCCTACCTGCCCTGTGCCTAGTTGCCCCACTACACAGATGGGCCGCTGGACCTTTGCACTCAGGTGCTGTGTGTATCACGGTGGCCAGCTTGTGAGCCAGTGTGCATCTTATAAATTCAGCACACCCATGGCAGTTTTAGCCTTAAAAATATGTAAGCCTCACTAAAAAAAAAAAAAAAAACAACTGAAGGTGACTGCTTTTGCAAGTTGCAGCAGGTTACCCGGCTGTTCCCGCCACTCAAAGAACAGGTGTTATTTCAACAGGTAAGTTGTGCTTTAGAGCAGTAGTTCTCAGATTTGAATGTAATTTGAATCAACTGGGGATCATTAACTTTCTATTCAGATTCAGTAGTTCCAGGTGGCACCTGATCTCTCTACGAGGTGACAGGCTGCATGGGGAGGGGGTGTGTGTGTGTCCCACATTGTGAGGTTTGCTCCTAGCACTAGTGCTGAACTACAGGGCAATTTAGGTTTCTACAAGCAGCCTTGTGGTAGCACTGCTGGTAATGTAAGAGGTTAACTACTTCCTCACTCCTTATAGTGAGTCTTGAATGTAATCTGAAGCAAAAAGAATGCATGAGACAAAAATAGTGACATTCTAAGCTATAAAGACCCAAAGTAAATAACTTTATTTTCAGAATGATTTTTCTGATATTCATTAACATGGTATGAAAAGAGTGGTTGACAATTCAATGATACTTTTCTGTTTGACTCTCATACTTTATATAAGAAAAGCTCTTAACTGATTTATTTTGCTTAGTACAATTTGATTTTTGTTTCTCAGAAATCAAAGGAATTGTGTATTTTGTACAACATGCATTCATTCATCTTTAAATCTTTTGTTGGATAGGAAAAAAGGCAAAACCGGTTCAACAGAAAATGCAAATATACTTACACATCTTAATAAAAATGTATACATTATGTATGAAGGAAAATATCCAAGACTTTCTCTTTAAAAAATATACAGTTCTAACAGTTGTGCATTATATACATTTATATTTTGACTTTATCTGCCAAAATAAATCAGGAGCATAAGAACCCAACTTTTTATATTTACAAAAATGCTACATTTTTATCCTTTAAGTTTGAGGAAGTAGTTAGCATTTTTACTTGTTTCAAACTAAATCCTCATGTTTACCTTACCCATTGATGTTTAGTCTTATCCAATTGGGCATGGTCCTAAAAAGTTTTGCATACAGTTATTTTTTGAGTGCAAATTGAAATATTGAAGGTGGACCAGGAAATACAGTTTGAGAAATCCTGCTTTCTGTTTAGTGATGTCTTAATTTATGAGCTTTTTCATATATTAGGTTTTGACTGTACATTAGAATAAATACATTGTAAAATCATACTTTCTATAATTTTTAGTATAACCACTTGTGTGATGATTTGGTTTTAGCTTTTTTATTCTTCACAGTTGATAACTCAGTATTTTATAAAAGTAACGCTGCCAGCTAGACAAAGTTCTAATTAAGAATTCCTGGTTTTTTTGCTAAAATGAATGATGCATAATTTCAAATCTCAATATAGTTTCTTCACAAAGTTTCTTACTATGTTACTGTTTCATTGGGAGTGTGTGGCAGCCATGCATGAAGCACCTTAGTTTTTAATCACATTCTACAGATCTTGTCTATAAACCATTTATGAAATGGAAACCTTAAAAGGGCATCTTTTAAGCCCCAAACTCACTTTTAAAACAAAAGTATGGCTGAATAAGAATAACTTTTTCCAAACTATTTTTTGTCCTTTAATTTCTTGGATGGACATAGTAAGCCTTACCTCTTGTTCTTGGGCACTACAACTTTAAGCAAAATGACTTTTAACAAAACCAGGTCCTCAAATGGCATGGGTTTGTTCAAAGTAAGCTGAGATTTTTAAAATTCTCATCAACATTATAATGAAAAGACTTGAAGTTAACCACATTCTCCAAGTACCTGCCCTACTCAACTTTGCTTAATTAAAAATGCCTGAGACAATGGTCCTCAGCGCCCCTGCCTCAAACCTGTGATCTGCTAACAAGTTGCCTGTTTAGGCCACTTGCTCTTGGCTCAGTGGTTCAAAACATGTTTTTGCTACCCAGGAAGCATTTTACAATGTCTGTAGACATTTTCTGATTGTCACCACTGGGCAGAGAGCATGCTTGGCATCTGGCAGCCACCAGGGTTGCTAAAAGAATCACCCTGCCCCAGTGTCACTAGTGCCAAAGTTGAGAAAGCCCACCCTGGAGAATAAATGATGCAGAGACAAGGGGCTAATTTTTTACAGTAATCCAGGTACTTTGTTGAAATGCATCAAGGCAGAGTGCCATACCAGTCCTTGTTAAAACGCCCCAACCTGCTGTGTGTATGTGAGCTCAGTTCAGTGTTATCTAAGGAGGGGAGGCGGAGTAAACTGAAAGGAATGACATGGAATGACATGCTCTGTTTCTCTGTTTAGTTCACTAAAGAATTAGTATGTATACACACAGCAGTCACGTGGTTTATTCAATATTCTGCGTCAATGAATAACCAGTTTTTCCACCTTTTTTAAAAAACTAAAATTTATATGGGAACCCACACTCCTGACCTAAGAATTGGACTCTTGAAATTATAACTAGAGAATTACCAGGCTGTTTTTGCTATAAAACTGACATTTCTTCCTAATACCCCCCCACCCGTTTGTTTGTCAAATAGAAACTAAATCTTTAAACAGCAGATAGCTCTGGAATGCCATCACAAGGATGAGGCCAGGAGAGCAGTCAAGGTCAGAGGCATATGGGCAAACACCTGTTTTCCTGATTACTTTTCACATTCTTGGAGCACTGTCTATAAGACATCCAAATTGTAGATTTTTACAAAAGCCACATGCTGAGCTCCAACCTACTCGTCCTTTTTTGTAATAAGGACATTGACATTTATAGAGGCCAAATGGCTTAGTCCAACTCTTCAGGTGTCCAGTTTTATGAACTTTGCCTGTAACCTTTCTCTCCCAGTCCCTCCTATAGAGAACATATGGGCTCAGATAAAAGAACGTGCAAAAGTGGCAAGGTGTGATCCATTTATATCCTAATCACCCGGGTGCTTGTTAAAATAGTATCACTGGGCTTACTGCCTAGTCCCACCAAATTAGAGTCTTAGAGGGCTTAAGAAGCTACTTGGCGTGGGGGCCTCGCCAGTGGCGCAGCGGGTTGAGCGCCACACTGTGAAGCAGTCTGCGGCCCCTGCAGCACTGGGTTCGATTCCCCCGGCTGGCCGGCGGGTTCGATTCCCCCGGCTGGCCGGCGGTTCGCCGCAAGGCATTGCAGACTGCCTGCTCTGCTCCCCACTTCCTGGCCTGTACCCCCACAGTTCTTGTATAATTAACTCAACCTTTATAAAAAGCTACCTGGAGTGGCTCAAGGGGTTAAGATGCATCTTATGAGGCTCACTGCAACACGAGTTCAATCAGGGAGCTGCCCACATGGTGCAGCAGACCTCTCCTGACTCGCCTGCTGCTCTCCTTAGTAGTGTATTTCAGTTCATCTGCCTGTTCTGTTCCCCACTGTCTCTGGTAGGTCCTCTCACCACCCCCCCCCCCCGCCCCGACTCTGGCCTGTTCCCCAGTTTGTTTTTTTTAAATACAAGAACTATCTGGTAAACTAGCTCAGGTGAAATTTATCCTGGGAGTTTAGGCATGCTTGACACAGGTGTAACACATAATTTAGTGATTTCCACTGTCTCCTTGACCTTCAAACCAATCCTGAGATATTATTTTACCTTGTCATCGCTGCCTGAAATCCCAACAATTAGAAATTTAGGCTTATTTTTCTTGTCTAGCAATAAATGAAAATAGCTCCCTGAAGTTAAGGGGATTACACAGTAACTCGTGCAATTGTGCCTTTTTCCTCCCTAACCCTGCTGAGGAGCAGCTGCCCTGAGGGAGTGGAGACGGGACAAGAGGAATTGGGAGGTAAGGAAAGTGGATAGGTCCAGACTACTGGAGAGGGAAGCAGGTGTCAGTGGACTGATAGAAGTGGAGGCACCAAGAGGTAGGACAGTGGTTTGGTATAGAAGCCTCAAGGATGCCAAAGAGGATTACTGATTTTTCAAAAATTTACTAGGTCCCTACCAGCCAGCCGTGCATCCTAAAAGAGAGGAAATTTCCTCCTTCCTCCAGCACAGGTTTGGCCCCCAGCAGACAGGATTTTATCATAAATATTATATTACACATTTTAAATAAAAATAGGGTTTTGACCTCTAAACTACTCCCTCCCTGACCCCCACCCCCACACCCTCCCCCTCTTACATGGAGATTTCTTTTGCAGGAGGCAAACTCTAGGCTTCTACCAGTTATTTGTGCATGGTGTGATTAGTACCGTAGCAAGAAAGGACTCTGAGGAGGCAGCTGTTGCCTAATTCAGAAACAAAATTATGACTTGCAATACCTGTAGCACCCTGGCTGAGCAACACTAAGTTGAAGACCTGTTGGGCTTTTCCATCTTGTTAACATCAATATCCAAACTAATTTTCAATCTATACTGAGTACTTCCTCTTTTGTTTTTGATATTTAAAAGCAATTGTTTTAAATGATTGGACTCCCCCCCCCAAAAAAAAATGTTGGGAAACTTTATATATATATATTTAGGAGTTGTCATGTTTGGAAGCATTTCATGTTTCCAACACAATGAACATTATAATGTAAACTCTGGACCAGCCAGCATAAAGATCACATTTCCCCATATAAAATAAGTCTTCTACCATTTATATGCCTGTCCACCCCCACCCCCCTTCTCAATTTCCTTCTTTCCAAACTGCCCTGCAGTTTTCTTAAAATATCAGGCTAGTTTACCTATTACATTATGAAACACTGGGACTGAAAAAGAAATCCATTTGCGCATATAGCAAATCCTAGCTGTGAAACAGTTCCCACCGCAGTGACAGCTGCTGGTGCTTTAGCTATTGAGTTCTGTGGTCTCGTCAATCTCATCTGGATTTTTGCTCATTTTT